AATGTATTGTTAAAGAAAAAAAATATTTTAAAACACACCTACAGCCAGGGTAAGATTGAGCCTGTCAAATGCATCTGGTTGGCAATCCCATGTGGCTTCAAAAAGTTTGTGGGAAAATGGAATTAAACTATTAGAATTTTATAAACGTTTTGAAACCCCCTATATTTTGTGGGTTTTCCAGGCATATTTAATTATATTACAGAACAAATTCAGGAAGTTGCATGTCAGCAAGAACCATTGGTGCTGAAAGAAATTCAAGCTGCACTGAAAGCATTAGCCACAAACAAGGGTCCAGGAATTGTTGGCATATGGATTGAAATGTTTCTACAAGCTGATAAAAGTCCAGGAGGCACTGTCATCTATGCTAACAAATTTGAAGACAGCTACTTGGCTAATTGACAGGAAGAGATCTATTTTTATACCCATTCCAAAGAAAGGTGACCCAACCAAATGCTCAAATTATAGAGCAATATCACATGCAAGTAAAATTTTGCTGACAAACATTCAACAAGGGTTGCAACAGAGGTTCAGACCAGATTCAGGAAAGGACATGAAACTCATGTCGTTGCTGATGCCACATGGATCTTGGCCCAAAACAGAGTGTATCAGAAAGATGTTTGCTTGTATTTTATTGACTATGCCAAGGCATTTGACTGTGTGGATAATAACAAATTATGGATAACCTTGAGAAGAATGGGAATTCCAGAACACTTCACTGTGCTTTTGAGGAACATGGATCAAGCAGCATTTATGAGAATAGAACAAAGGGACACTGCATGGTTTAAAATCAAGAAAGGTGCACATCAGGTTCTTATCCTTTCACATGCTTATTCAATCTGTGTGCTGGCTTATGAAGGAGAATGTGGCATCAGGATTGGAGGAAGGCTTGACAATATGCAAATGAAACTGGTTGAAAGCGAGGAGAACCCGAGGCTAAAAAAAATGAAAGATTTCAGTATAGATTACAACTCAATAGAAGGAAGAAGAAAATTCTCAAAACTAGGCTAATAGGTAACTTCATGATAAATGGAGAAAAAATTGAAGTTGTCAAGGGTTGTGTCTTGCTTGGATCCATAATCAATGCTCAGGGATGCAATAGTTAATGCCAAAAGATGTGTCGTATTAGGTAAACCTGCTGCACAAGCCCTCTTTAGAGCATTGAAGAGCAAGGATATTATTACTTTGAGGAGTAAGATGTACCTGACCCAAACCATAGTATTCTCCATTGCATTATATGCATGGACCTTAAATAAGGAGACCTTACAAGTATTGATACATTTGAATTGTGCTGGAGAAAAATATTGAAAGTAGCATGG